GAACGGATGACTGGGCACTTAGCATATTAGGTTTTAATTATATACGATTTTTTATTTCTAAACATAATGAATTATTTTTTAATACTTTTTTATATGTTTTTATTGATTTTTAGAGGGAGAGGTCAGGAGAGGGATAGAGATAGAAACAGATCAGAAAAGAACATCAATTAGATGCCTCCTGCACTACTGGGAATCAAGCCCATAACCGTGCATGTGTCCTGACCATGACCTCCTGAACCACTGAACCACACCATCCAGGCTTACCCATTTTTTAATTGAGTGGTTAGTTTCTTATTGTTGAATTTGAGTTCTTTGTGTATTTTGAAGCCAGTCTGTTGTCAGATATGTATTTTGCAAATGTTTTCTTGGTCTGATTTGTCTTTTAAATTTATATGTCTTTCACAGAGTTGGGGTTTTTAATTTTAATAGTCTAACTTTTCTTTCATGTATCTTGCTTTTGATGTTGTATTAAAAGCTCATTGTCAAGCCTAAGGTCAACTAAATTTTGTGTTCTGTTCTAATAAACATAATGCAGTATCCTTTTTACATACCTGCTTTATATGTGCTATCCCATGAGGATATTTTTTTCCATTGATTTTTTTTTTAAGAGAGGGAGTGGAAGGAAGAGAGGAGAGAGGGAGAGAAAAAATTTTTTTCTTGTCTTTTTTTTAAAAAATATATATTTTACTGATTTTGTACAGAGAGGAAGGGAGAGAGATAGTTAGAAACATCGATGAGAGAGAGTCATCCATCAGCTGCCTCTTGCACACCCCCTACTGGGGATATGCCCGCAACCAAGGTACATGCCCTTGACCGGAATTGAGCCCAAGACCCGTCAGTCCCCAAGCCGACGCTCTGTCCATTGAGCCATACCGGTCTTGGCCAACTTTACCTTTTTCATTTTGTGAACACAGTCCCAAGATCCATTAAATAAAATAAAAAATGCCACCAGATGATATATGAAAGTCTAGTCCAGTTTAATCACTTTAAAGGTTACTTTATAGGAATTTGGCATTAAATTCAGCACTAGAATAATTTGATTTACTTTTTTTTCTAGATGGTTAAATGACAGTCATGGTTGCGAATTGGGGTCATTGAATTTATGAAGGAGCTCTTTATTCAGTTCTTTCTTTGTTTTTGTTTTGGATTTTACCTGAGAAATAAAGGTCCCCATTGTAAATAGGAGACCAAAAAAAGTTAAGCTCAGTTTTTTTTCTTTTTAAAAAATAATTGAATGATTGATTTGAGAGAGAGAGATTTGTTCATGCATTTATTGATTGATTTTTTTTTTTTTTCAAGGCAAACATATTTACTTGTACGTAGAAGGGTGCATACCCATGGTCTGGAAATGCGTGCACACCAAGCAGACTGTCTGCTTGGCTTTATAATTTCTGATGCAAGTGACCTGTCCATTGCTCATGATTGGAGCTCAGGCACACAGTCTTTCACGATGGCTTTGGGAGGGGTTGGCCTTTGCTGTTTCAAGATGGCAATCCCCAGGGGAGCTGCCAAGCCATGCTGCCAACATGGCGGCTGCCAAGTCATGTGGTCCAAAATGGCGGCTGTGTAAACGGTTTTTTGACAGAAAAGATGACTTGTTTATTCTCACAATTCCCCCTCTTCTTTATTTAAACTCTTCAAACTCGCTGACATCCATTAACTTTCTTGCTCTGCAATGTCTAGGAGGAGACTAATTTGCTGTTTGGTCAATGCTGTTTCAATTAATCCTTAGATAAGACATGGGATGATGTTACATCCCATCACTGTAGCTCCTAAACAAAGGGGTGAAATGGACACCATTCCTCTAGTGCATCCGTGAAAGGACCTCAATCCCAGGCTCCAGCTCACTTGTCACTGAAACTGACAGTGCCTTAGGCTCAGTGATGGTCTGTCTATTGGGTTGTCAGGGGTGAATGCACAGCACTGGCCCCAACTCACACATCTTCCTCCTGCCTATTCTCCGAGGGCACCCTGCTGCTGACATCTAGCTGTTCACTATCTCTTTAGCTGCATCTCGAGCCTAGTTAACAAGTCTTTACTGGTTCTAGAAAATCAAAGTAATCCACCACATTCTTGTTAACAGTGGGCCACCAATACAGGATTCAAACCCTGCAGCAATCTGATTTCTAGCCTTAAACTCCTTGGAACTCCTCCTAGAACCCCAACGTGTGTATATGGTGATCAAAGGAACCCCTAGACTCTCTCCTCTTCCTAATCTGTCCATTGAAAAAGATTTATGATATGCAACGTGAAAGGGATAGCCAATTGTATCAGTGCAAAGTCCACTCCATTTGCTGGGCAAAGCCACAAGTCAGGGTCCCCCAAACATCAGAACAGGGTATTAGCAGTGCAACACGATGGGCTTCTGAGGATACTCAGCCATATTTACACATCCAGATACAATCCTCATAAACTGAGCACTGTCCCCTCCTTGAGAGGCAGGAGGTATAGTTTACGTCAGAGGACAGGCCTGATTGTTGTCCTAGCTCTTTAACTCTGTTGAATGGGAACAACAGGACAAGCGTCTTACAGGAATCGTTTCCCCGGTGGTTTCAAGGCAACCACACATTCCATCCCGTTACTGTCTGAGGTCCATCCGAATGGGAATGGGACTACTTGGGCCTCTAGCCTTCCTGCCACGCAAGCGTTACAGTCGCTTTTATTCAGGGCGCAAACAATATTTAATCCCTTCCACCCAGGCATTCGTTCCCTTATATCCTACTTCTAGTTGCATGGTTGTGGCAGTGGCCTAGGGGATCTTATCCTGTGGCATCTCCTCCTAAATCTAGTCCTAGCCAATCTTTTGACCTAAAGGCTGAAATATCCCAAGTCATTCAAGTTATCTATAACCAATAACTTTTAACTGGGTAAGCATGATCCAGATTGTACACATTCCTCCAGTCCACATTGTAAGCTCCTGTAATTTGCCAGATTCCTTAAGCAAATAGAGCCCAGTACATGATGGTTATTTTTAAGACAGCTCACAGTTTTTAGATCACTTTCAAGGGGCTATATCCTGGTATGGCTGTTCAAATTGAGGTGTGTCCGCTCTTAACCTGTGTGTGATTGGTCCAACCTGGCTCTGCAGTCTGAACAGACTGTAGTAAGCAAGACAGGTAAGGTTCTTCTCAGGAGGGTTCCAACTTGCTTCCCTTCCAAATCTTGATTAGAACAAATGTAGTCTTCCGGTCAATAGCGATAAATTGGAAACTTGAGGCCTTCTAACCTGAGAGAGATTGAAGTAGAAGAGATACCCAGTACACAGTTCTTAAGAAATTGGTCCTTAGTTTCCATTGTAGGAAGATCTTGAGACATTCTAGGGCCTATTGGAATCACCTACGGCCAAATAACTCTTGGCTCATGCATGAGGTTATCTGATTGCTGCGGGTCTGGTTTGGGCCCTTCCTGCGTTGCTGGCTGACTCTCGATTCCGAACTGCCCAGGGGTAATGGCTGTCCCTCCTCAGCGAGGCTGCTGTAACTTGGCAGTGTGGTGCACCGTCTCAGGAGAGAGGTCCACTTGCCCTGTGGCAACAGATGGTATCCTGAACGAGCCCCCAAATTGTTAGAAATAAGGCGAGCCCCCCAAGTCAGGGGTTCCAGTAGAATACAGAACACTCGGGAGCCAGCAAAGCAAACATGTTTACTTATATGCAGAAGGGTGCACACACGTGGTCTGGAAGTGCACCTATTGGTTGATTCTTGAATGTGTCCTGACCAGGGGTCAAACCAAGTGTACAATTTAGTGACATTAAGTGCAGTCACAATGTGCACCTATTTACCTTCCTCTACTTATAGAACTCTCTCTTGCAGAATTGAAACTACTACATACTACCAAATAATTTTGTGCATCCATGTGGCTCAGTTTTTATGTCTTTGAATCTGTGGTCCTTGGAAAGAGGACCCACTGAAAGTATAATACAATACACAAGGCAATTAATTGTTTAGAAAATAATAGGTAAAAGTAGCTGGAATTTGTTCTTTACCATTTCATTGTAATGTTTTAATTAGTACTGGTAAATCAATATACAAAAGATGCTTTTGTCATTTGTTAAGCTTTTTACAAATGAAATTGTATTTTAATATTCTAGCTCTGTGGAGTCAACATGATATGACTGGATTTTTGAGTGGGATTTTTTTTGTTTTTGTTTTTTTAGGACAATTGTTTATTTTTGAGTTTTATTTTGAAATATTCATGAAATTGAAATTTTTTGTTTTTTAAAAATTTTTTATTGTTTAAGGTATTATAAATAGTAGTACATATGTGTGTCGTCATCGTGTTGTCGTCCCCCCCTCCCCCGCAACACACACACACACACACACACACACACACACACTAAATCGAATCCTTTGAACTAGTTAGGAAAACCCCTGACTCTCTATAGGCTTATTATTTTAAAATATATTTTATTGATTTTTACAGATAGGAAGAGAGAGGGATAAAGAGTTAGAAACATTGATGAGAATCACCGATCAGCTGCCTCTGGCGCATCCCCTACTAGGGATGTGCCCGCAACCAAGGTACATGCCCTTGACTGGTATCGAACCTGGGACCTTTCAGTCTACAGGCTGATGCTCTAGCCACTGAGCCAAACCAGTTTTGGCTAGGCTTATTTTCTTTATTTGTAAATGAGATATTCACTATCAAGTTCCTTTTAATTCTGATTTGAAAGCCTTAATTTTATTTTTTAAAATATATTTTATTTATTTTTTTTACAGAGAGGAAGGGAAAGGGATAGAGAGTTAGAAACATCGATCAGAGAGAAATATCAACTGCCTCCTGCACGCCACCTACTGGGGATGTGCCTGCAACCAAGGTACATGCCCTTGACTGGAATTGAACCTGGGACCCTTCAGTCTGCAGGCTAATGCTCTATCCACTGGGTCAAATCTGTTAGGGCTGAAAACCTTAATTTTAAATGAGAGGGATTATTGGTCTTAACAAACTTTTTAAATGAAGGTGATACATTTAACTTACTTTACTCTTGTTGTATGTAGATCATGGAAGAGAAGTGGCTGCTGTGTGTGTTGCTAGTCCTTGGAACTGCTGTCATTCAGGCTCATGAGGGTCATGATGATGATGTGATTGATATTGAGGATGACCTGGATGATGTCATTGAAGAGGTAGAAGACTCAAAATCGAAATCAGAAATCAGCACTCCTCCATCTCCAAAGGTTTGAAGTAGTCTTTGAATCTTTGTTTTACCTCTTGAGATAATCAGAGATGAAGGTAAATTTGGATATTTTTCAAAGGAAAAGCTAATCAACTAAAGTACTTACTGATCTCTCTGGTAACATTTGCTATATCTTTTTTTTTATTTTAATTTTTTGGTATTTCTTTTATATATATATATATATATATATATATATATATATATATATATATATATATATATTATTGATTTTATACAGAGAGGAAGGGAGAGAGATAGAGAGTTAGAAACATCGATGAGAGAGTGTCATCGATCAGTTGCCTCTTGCACACCCCCTACTGGGGATATGCCCGCAACCAAGGTACATGCCCTTGACCGGAATCGAACCCAGGACCCTTCAGTCCCCAAGCCGGCTCTCTATCCATTGAGCCAAACCGGTCTTGGCAACCTTTGCTATATCTTGCCAAAGATAAATTGTATAGATTGAATTCAGAAGCCAATAGGAGAATTTTGTGGTAATTGAAAGCAAATCAAGAGAATAAATTCTACTAAGAAATGTTGTTGAAAATGTCAGTTCTTAATTTATTTTTATATTTGACACGTATATTTGTAGGTTACCTACAAAGCTCCAGTTCCAACGGGGGAAGTGTACTTTGCTGATTCCTTTGACAGAGGAACTCTGTCTGGGTAAGTATTTTCTAGGGGGGGGAAGTCAGATAAACATGTAGGTGGGAGAATAGTGAATTCCTTATTTATTTATTTAATTTAATTTAATTTTCCTCAACCGAGGATTTGCTTTTTATTGACTTTAGAGAAAGAGCAACAGAAAGATAGCAAAGTGAGAGAAAAACATCAATCGGTTGCCTTTCATATTTCCCCCGACCCAGGATCACATCCCAGTTATGTCCCTGACTGGGAAACAAACACACCACCTTTCCATGTATGGGACGATAATCCAACCACCTGAGCCACACAGGTCAGGGCTAGTGGATTCCTTTTAGAATAGCATCTTATATAGTGAAATTGTGATAACAATTTTATATCTCTAGTGTTCACACCCATTTAGGAAAATAGTCTTTTAAAACATGTGGTAATTGCTTCCATTTCTCTTTCCTCCACTATATGCATATGATCTCTGAACACATGATAATCTGGCCACTTGGTGTATATACTATATAATAAAAGGCTAATATGCAACTTGTCCCCTGGACAAGGTGTTCAACCAGCAGGCAGGCAGGCCAACTACCTATGTCCCCTCCCCCTGGCTAGACCCCACCCATGCACGAATTCATGCACTGGTCATGTTCCCTGATGGGAAATTGAACCATGACCTCCTGGTTCATAGGTCAGTACTCAACCATTGAACCATGCTGCCTGGCTTCTACTCTATATTTTGTTCTTTGAGGAAAAAATTTTTTCTCTTGAGTCTAAAAAAAGAATTAGATTACGGGTTTGGTACCTTTTCTTACAGGTTTGTGAACTGAGTACAATATGTTATCACTACTTATGTGACATTTAAAAGAAGAGTGGTCAGATATCAAATTATACTATAAAACCATCATAATAAAAAAAGTCCAGTATTGACACAACTACAGGCACATAGATTGATGGAAAAGAACAGAGACCTCAGAAATCCACCCAAGCCATTACACTCAATTGATATTTGACCAAGGAGTCAAGAACATACAATGGAGTCAAGACAGTTTCTATATATATAAAAAAGCCTAAGTGACCATTTAGCCATTTTACCATTTGATCAGTAGCTGACTTGACGCGCACTGACTACCTTGGGGCAGATGCTTAACACACAGGCATGGAAATATGGAACAGACTGAATTTCAGGGGGGAATGGGTGATGGGAGAGGGGAGAGCCAGAAGTGATTAACCAAATCTCTTATATGTGTACTAGAAGCTGGGTGCACAGATTTGTACACTGGTGGGGTCCCTTGGCCTGGCCTGCAAGGATTGGGCCAAAACCATCAGTCTAGGTGTCCCGGATTTGGAGAGGATGCAGGCCAGGTTGAGGGATCCCACAAGTGCATGAATCCGTGCACCGGGCCTCTAGTTTTCAATAAATGGTATTGGGAAAATTGGACAGATACATACAAAAAAAATGAAACTAAACCACCAACTTAAACGTAGAATGGTTAAGTAGGCTATAAAGAGCTGGGTAGATCCTGCTTTTGCTAGTATTTACATTGCTTTTTTTCACAAGTCAACTATCATTTGGACCTTCATTTGGGAATTTGTCTTAATTACAGGTGGATTTTATCCAAAGCCAAAAAAGATGACACTGATGATGAAATTGCCAAATATGATGGTAAGAGTTAATTTGACTTAAATATAATAGCAGATTGAGGTTTGAAGCATTTCCATGATTCTTTTAAGACTAGTTTAAACTGGGGGGTGAGAATGGCTGGGGAAAAAGGAAACATATGTAAAACTTAAAACAATAAAGAATGTAAATTTAAAAAAAAGACTAATTTAAAAGGAATATGCACACATTTTAAGATTTTTTTTTTCCTTATAAGTTTTACTATCTTCAAGTGTTGCATTATATTTAAAGAGTTAGACCTGTTTGTTTTACACCATAAAATGGAAAGGTAATTTAGCACCTGTGGTGTTGTGTGTTGGAAATGGCTGGTCTTTTTTTGGCATTGGTAAAATGAATATGCTACAGTTTGTTTTTGTTTGTTTGTTTGTTTGTTTTTAAAATATATTTTATTGATTTTTGTACAGAGAGGAAGGGAGAGAGATAGTGAGTTAGAAACATCGATGAGAGAGAGTCATCGATTGGCTGCCTCTTGCACACCCCCCACTGGGGATATGCCTGCAACCAAGGCACATGCCCTTGACTGGAATCGAACCCGGGGCCCTTCAGTCCCCAAGCCGACGCTCTATCCATTGAGCCAAACCGGTCCTGGCTGCTACAGGTTTTTAAAGAACATACCCTAATATGTGTGTGTAATATTAATATGCCAGTTTTCATAGATAAATGGAATATGTTAAAATATCTATTTATATAAAAGCCTAAGAGACTGTTTAGACTGGTCGACTGCTTACTATGACAACACACTACCCACCAGGGGGCAGATGCTCAATGCAGGAGCTTCCCCTGGTGGTCAGTGCGCTCCCATAGCCAAACTCCCATGGTGTCTCCCCCTGGCTGGCTGGCCCTGATTGGGCATCGCCGGCCAGGCAGAGGGACCCCACCAGTGCACGAATTCGTGCACCTGGCCTCTGATGTCAGTATGATAGACTTGCACAACTATCATTTAAAGGATCTTTAAAGGTAAAGTTAAGAAGTGGAACTTTTTTGTGTGTTTTATAGGAAAATGGGAGGTAGATGAAATGAAGGAAACAAAACTTCCAGGGGACAAAGGACTTGTATTGATGTCTCGGGCCAAGCATCATGCCATCTCTGCTAAACTGAACAAGCCCTTCGTGTTTGATACCAAGCCTCTCATTGTTCAGTAAGTGAGACACTTCTTTGATAGAAGCTTTCTAGGAAGGGTGATATCAGAAGACATGATTTTATAAAACTTACTCTACATAAAACATTTATGAGAATTACTATATGTTATAATAGAAATAATAGGGACTTTTTAGTACATTTAGGCATCTTGTAATGTTATTTTCCTGCTCACTAAATTATTTTGAAAGAAACTGGCTATTCTTTCTCCTAATAGCACATGAACTTCTGGAATCTGCAAAAAGTATTTCCTGGGAATCTGCATTAAGCGTGGGGGGATTGGGAAGCCATTCAAAGCCATAGAAGATGGGATTTTTCCTGAAGACAAACATGTGACCTGTGATTAAACATGAGACCACGATGAGGAAAAGGGTAATGAAGAAATTTGATATTTCAAAATGCCATATGATTTTCTGCTTTTCTCTGAAATTAGGTATGAGGTTAATTTCCAAAATGGAATAGAATGTGGTGGTGCCTATGTGAAGCTGCTTTCCAAAACCCCGGAACTAAACTTGGTAAGTACTTCCTATTTCTGTATATAGCTACCCATGTTTATCTTTCAAGATTTGAAATGTGAATTTCAAAATTGTTCTGTCTTGATTCCTGATTTCTATTCTGTGTTTTTTTGTTGTTGTTGTTGTTTTGTTTTTTTTTAATCTTTATTGTTCGGATTATTACAAATGTGTTCCTCTCCCCCACCCCCAACCCCAATTGCTCCCCTCCACCAGGTTCCGACCCCACCCTCTGTCCTTTCCCCATCCCCCATTGTCCTCATCCATAGGTGCACAGTTTTTGTTCAGACTCTTCCGGCACCCCCTTCTCCCCTTGTCCCCCAGAATCGTCAGTCCACTCCCCTTCCATACCTCTGATTCTATTACCATATATTCACCAGTTAATATTATTCATCAGATTTTTTAATTCCCTTGGTTTTTAGATTCACTTGTTGATAGTTATGTATTTGTTGTTCATAATTTTTTTTAAATATATTTTTTATTGATTTTGTACAGAGAGTAAGGGAGATAGAAAGTTAGAAACATCGATAAGCTGCCTCTTGCACACCCCCTACTGGGGATGTGCCTGCAACCAAGGTACATGCCCTTGACCGGAATCAAACCCGGGACCTTTCAGTCCCCAAGCTGACGCTCTATTCATTGAGCCAAACTGGTTTCGTCTGTTCATAATTTTTTATCTTTATCTTCTTCCTCTTCCTAAAGAACCCCCTTCAGCAATTCATATAATTCTGATTTGGCAGTGATGAACTCCTTTAGCTTTTTTTTTATTTGTGAAGCTCTTTATCTGGCCTTCGATTCTGAATGATAGCTTTGCTGGGTAGAGTATTTTTGGGTGTAGGTTCTTGCTATTCATCACCTGGAATATTTCCTGCCTTTCCCGTCTGGCCTGCATGGTTTCAGTTGAGAAATCAGTTGACAATCATGGGTGCTCCTTTATAGGTAACTACTTGCTTTTCTCTTGCTGCTTTTAATATTCTTTCTTTGTCTTTTGCTCTTGGGATTTTAATTACGATGTGTCTTGGTGTGGTCCTCTCTGGATTCCTTTTATTTGGGGTTCTGTGCGCTTCCTGGACTTGTAAGTCTATTTCTTTTCCCAGGTGGGGGAAGTTTTCTGTCACTATTTCTTTCAGGATGTTTTCGGTATCTTGTTCTCTTTCTTCTGGGATCCCCATAATTTTGATGTTGGTTTGCTTGAAATTGTCCCAGAGGTTTCTTACACAATCTTCGACTTTCTGGATTCTTGCTTCTGTGGAGGTGTCCTCTGGCTCTTTGTGTTCTAAATCTTTGTCTTGATTCTTGCGATCTTCCATTCTGTTTTTAGGACTCTGTGTAATATTTTTTATTTCAGACAATGTTTTCTTCATTTCTAGTTGATCCCTTATTCTAGTTGCTGCTTTTTCATATCCTCATAGGTCTCATTTATTTTATCAGCCTTTTTTAGGATATTCTTGAATAACCTTATAACTATAGTTTTGAACTCAATGTCCAATCTTTTCTTTTCCTCCATCTCCTTCCTTTGTGTCCTGCCTCTTGTCTGCATTTTAGTTGTTTCCCTGATTTGATGGAATAGTTTTGTGTGTTAGGTGATCTGGTAGAGCCCAGTAGTACAGCCTTCCCAGTTACCTGCGGTGGACAGTCTTGGTGTAGCCCTTTGTGCACACACACTGAGCTGCACTTCAAAACATACGAAGAAGTGGAAAATTAGGTCTCTGGATGGTTTGCCTCAAAACAAGAAAAGTTCCATTGTGACGGTATCCACAATTACCTGAAAGATGGAAATGTATAGCTAGCAATGGATATTACTTTGAATAAAGCACTTTTCACGTTTCTCTTGAAATTATCGTGTTCTCTCTGATTACAAAATCCGCATTATTAACCAGTACAATTAGTGGTAAGTCTAGTACCAACCTGACACCATATGTAGTTATTAGAATCTTATTGCCTATATTCCCTATGCTGTACTTTACATGCCTGTGGCTGTTTTTGTAACTACCATTCTACTTACTCCTTTTACCTTTTCACCCAGCTCCCCAACCCCCTCCCATCTGGCAACCATTTGTTTGTTTCTGTATCAATGATTCGATTTTTGTATTGTTCGTTTTTGTTCTTTAAGTGATAGCATGATATCATCGTCTTTCTTTATCTGACTTAATTTCACTTGGCATAATGCCCTCTAGTTCTATCCATGCTGTCACAGAATCAGCTTTTCTTTTCATGTGAAACTAAGTTATTTGGGATTTTATAGGAAGAAATATACTTTTGAAATGTTGCTTTGAATACTTTGATTTACTTAAAATCAATTTTTGTTTCTAAAGGACCAGTTCCATGACAAGACCCCTTATACAATCATGTTTGGTCCAGATAAATGTGGAGAGGACTATAAATTGCACTTCATCTTCCGCCACAAAAATCCCAAAACGGGCGAATACGAAGAAAAGCATGCTAAGAGACCAGATGCCGATCTGAAGACCTATTTTACTGATAAGAAAACACATCTTTATACATTAAGTAAGAAAAACCAATAATTTGGGGGGGGTTATGGCACTACAGATTTATTATTGATCCTATATAATAAGAGAGGAATATGCTAATTATCCATTATGCCATAACACCACAACCAATCTACAAGTGGTGGAGAGCTACAGGAGGGCGAAGCAGCGAGCTAAGAGCAGTGGAGGGCCACCAGTGGCAGTAGGCGGGTTGCCAGCTGAGGCAAGTGGCAGTGAGCTACTCCAGCCTGGATTCGTGGGCAGGGCTACTAGTTTATTATAAAGATAGTACATCTAGAGAAGACCTAAGTCTGCAAATAAGAGTCTCTACTGACCTAATACCTTAGTAATGAAATGAACCTAATGTCTTGGCACAAAAAGGAGCTTCTCATCCAGCTGGCTTGGCTCAGTAGTTGAGCATCAGCCTTTGAACCAGGAGGTTATGCCCGAGTTTCAGGCTTGATCCACAGTAAGGGCATACAGAGGGCAGTCGATCAGTGATTCATCATTGATGTTTCTATCTTTCCCTTAATTTTAAATTTAAATTTAAAATCTCAGGACTGAAATCAATTAAAAATATATTAAAAACAAACAAAAAGGAAGTGGGGGGAAAGCACCTTCTCTTCCATAGTTTGAATTGAGATTCAGGGTTTAAAGCATTTTTGAGAAAAAGTTTTATGTTCCTTAAGAAGCTTCTTTGCTGATACCTCATTTCCACCCTTTGTATATTTTCCTGTTGATAAAATGTTAAGCAATAAAACATAATAGAAATATATGCATGATGTTTTCAAATTATCTTTTAATTAAAGTTTGCTTGGGTACTTCAACACCTGGACAATTAAACGTAATCATTTGGACATTAGAATGGGATTTTTATTTTCATGACGCTTTTCCCCTAGTTTGAAATTACATACACACATGCCTCTTTTCTTAAAGAATACAATAACCTTTTTTTCTTCATAACAGTAATATATGTTCTGTATAGAAATTCAGAAGATAGAAATAAACATCTTTATTTCTTTAGAATTATCTGAAATAACAACATTGTAATATATATTAACCATTTGTGAATAAACACATGTATGTGTATAATAATAAGTATAGATGTAATTTTTTATTGGAAGTTAAATATTCTATATTGTACTTGGTCTCTTCACAAAAGTGCAAGAATCTTTCCAGGAGACTACATATCATTGTTAACAGTGCTAACTTAATTATCCTTGAGAAAAGCGGCCCAGTACACCATTGTCTTCCATAGTATTCTGGATGTGCTGTGACCCAGTCAGTTGCCAGTTAGACTTGTGTGAGATCTAGGTTTTAACATAATTACACTTGATACCTTTATGGATTTAAAATTGAGGTTTTTTTTATTCTTCATTGGACCCCAAAAATACAACTAGGAATATACATATGATTTAATAAAAAAAAAAAGGTTTTTGTAATTTGAAATTTTGTTAGCTTAGATGGTGGTAATGCCAACTCAAAAAATGAGGAAATGGACCTTTACGAGGGGTGGTTATAATAAGTAAACTCATTTGCCTATTAACTGGTGTGTAACCATTTATGTCAGACCAATATTGCATTAGTTTATGTACCTTTGGTTTTCCTGTTGGGTTTTGTTTTGTTTTTGTCTCCTTTTTTTTTTTTTTTTTTAATGTTTTTAATGTCTGTAAATGAAATCTTTGGTGTTTAAAATTTTATCTGTGATCTGTTTTAATTACTAAGAATCTGAGGAACTACCTTTTATGATTTACAGGATTAACTTGCTCAGGGCTCCCAAGATCATGTTCTGACTTTGTTGCCTGAGGTCTTCGTGTTTCTGCTTTCTGCTATAAATATGTTCTTCTGTGGGATGTCAAACAGAGCTTGAGAATGAGTGGTTAATTAACTTTTTAAAATTGCATTTAATTTTTTTTAGTCTTGAATCCAGATAATAGTTTTGAAATATTAGTGGACCAATCTCTTGTGAACAGTGGAAATCTACTAAATGACATGACTCCTCCTGTAAATCCTTCACGGGAAATTGAGGACCCGGAAGACCGGAAACCTGAGGATTGGGATGAAAGACCAAAAATACCAGATCCTGATGCTGTCAAACCAGATGACTGGTGAGCCTTTGAGTGCAATGGAGTTTGTGTATTCCATGTGGCTTTAACAAGTGAATATGTAGTTCTGATAATTTTAATAATCTAAGATGCAATTCAAATGGTAGGAAAAACATAGACAAAAGAGGCTGAAAGGGGGCCATGCAGATCATCTGAATTGCCTGTCACCATTTTATAAACCACAAAATGCTGAAATCCATATATTTGCCTGTACTGAGACATGTTTGCTTTATGGCAATACCTCAGTTCCCTTGGCCTGGCATTTTACATGCTTTTGTGAATTCACATTGAAAGCTTCAGTCCTGAGATTTTAAATTTAAATTTTTAATTTTTTTCCTATTTAAATAAAACTCAAGAGATCCGTGCTTTGTGTTGGACAGTGGATGCAAAGCCACAAGGACATGAACTCTCACACAGCTCCATTTCAGCTTTTATGTTCCTTACGGAGTTTTTTTGCTGATGCCCTCATTTTCACCCTTTTTCTTGTTGATAAAATGTTAAGCAATAAAACATATAATAAAAATATATGCATGGTGTTTTCAAATTATCTCTTGATAATTTGAAGTTGGCATGCATAGGTTGAGTGGTCTAATAGTAGGTGTTACTTGGGTACTCCAACACCTGGACAATTGAATTTAATCATTTGGACATTAGAATGGGATTTTTATTTTCATGAAGTTTTCCCTCTAGTTTGAAATTACATATAAAATGCCTCTTATCTTAAAGAATACAATAACCTTTTTTATTTTAACAAAAGTAAAACATATTCAGTATAGTAATGACCAGAGCATCAAGTATAAATCAGGGTGCCAATCAGATTAAGACTTAAAAGTGGAGGGACAGTTATTAACTAAGTGGTAAAGATGGAAAATGGTATTAAAGAAACACATCATGTGTAGAATTAGAGGAGTGAGCTCAGTATGTATGAGGGAAGTTGAGTATGCATGGTCTTTTGTGTAGCATACAAACTGGAGAGTGATGAGAAATGAAAACTGGCTATTGGAAATGTCAGAAAGTGCATAAAGAGAAATAATAAAACTGTTCTCCCACTTGTAAAACTATCTTAAGCTTAGCAGGGAAATTGTAGTTGATGTTTTTCCTCCCTTAAATTAAGGTGCGGGTTCCTGAACGTTTATGCTGCACTAGTGTAAATGCCAAGTTGACTTGTGTATTTGTTGTACATTAGATATGGACTCAGCCTTGTTGTTCAGTAATATTCCTTTACTAGCTGTTTTATTTTGGGACAGAGGGTGTGAATGTTCTGCTTCTAAGGGTCAGGTGATTGTTATACAAATTCAGGTTCTCACACAATTTAAAACTAGCATAGTTCAAAAATAAGCATATGGCCAAGGATAAATGATATCTTTGCTTACCAAGTAAAGTTGCTCCATTTTTTATTAACTGCACCAAAGTTGGTAGTTCTTTTTTAAAATATTTGTATGTGTTTTTTTTTTTTTTTTTTAATTTATTTCAGAGAGGAAGGGAGAGGGGAGGAGAGAAAACAATCAATGATGAGAGAGAATCATCATTGGCTGCTTCCTGCAATTGCCATCCTCCTACTAGGGATTGAGCCCAAAACCTAGGCAGTGCCCTGACCAGGAATGGAACCCTGACCGTTCAGTCTGCAGGTTGACGCTTTATCCACTGAGCCAAACTGGCTAGGGCTGGGTTGTCTTTTTTTTTTTTTTTTTTTTTTTAATATATTTTATTGATTTTGTACAGAGAGGAAGGGAGAGAGATAGAGAGCTAGAAACATTGATGAGAGAGAGTCATCGAACAGCTGCCTCTTGCACACCCCCCACTGGGGATATGCCCACAACCAAGGTACATGCCCTTGACCGGAATCGAACCCGGGTCCTTTCAGTTCCCAAGCCGATGCTCTATCCATTGAGCCAAACCGGTTTCGGCTGGATTGTCTTTTTATTATTGAGTTGTAAGAGTTCTTGATATTGCCGAGACCGGTTTGGCTCAGTGGATAGAGCATTGGTCTGCAGACTCAAAGGTCCCAGATTCGATTTCGGTCAAGGGCATGTACATTGATTGTGGGCACATCCCCGGTAGGGGGTGTGCAGGAGGCAGCTGGTCGATGTTTCTCTTTCATCGATGTTTCTAGCTCTCTATCCCTCTCTCTTCCTCTCTGTAAAAAAATCAATAAAATATATTTTTAAAAAAAGAGAGTTCTTGATATGATTTGAAGATTAGTCCCTTATCAGATATATGATTTGCATGTAATTTTTAGGAAGAATTTTGAGTTTTGAGATTAAGATTTAAATATTTTTAGATTGCCCTGCTTCAGAGTCACAAAGGGGACTACACTGTGATTCTCTGGCCATTGTTGTCATAATTGGCCTTTTCTTATTTAAGGGATGAAGATGCCCCTGCTAAAATTCCTGATGAAGAAGCCACAAAGCCTGAAGGCTGGTTAGATGATGAGCCCGAATATGTAGCTGATCCAGATGCGGAAAAGCCAGACGATTGGTAAGAGCTTTAGTTAACTTTGTAATTACCTGCTTTGTAAGAAAATATATTTTTATTGATTTCAAATAGGGAGGGAGGGAGGGAGGGAGGGAGGGAGGGAGGGAGGGAGGGAGGGAGGGAGGGAGAGAGAGAGAGAGAGAGAGAGAGAGAGAGAGAGAGAGATATCAGTGATGAGAGAGAATAACTGATCGTCTGCCTCCTACATGGCTCCTACTGGGGATCAAGCCAAACCCAGGTATGTGCTCTGACCTAGAATGGAATCAGTGACCTCTTGATTTATGGGTTGACGCTCAACCACTGAGCCACACAAGCCAGACTAATTGACTGCTTTTTTATTGAAGTAAAAGCTTCTACATAAAGATAGCTGAGTGCCCAAACTAAGTGTAGAGCTCAACAGATTTTATCATTACTTTATGTATTTATTGTTAATCCTCACCAGAGGATTTTTTTTTTTTTTTTAATGGAACGCTTCATGAATTTGTGTGTAATTCTTGCGCAGGGGCCATGCTAATCTTCTCAGTATCGTTTCAATTTTAGTGTATGTGCTACTGAAGCAAGCACAGAGGATATTTTTTCCATTGCTTTTCAGAGAGTGGAAGGGAGGGAGGGTTGGGAGAAAGAAACATTGATGTGAGAGACGCATCCATTGGATTCTCCACAACACAATCCAGGTACATGCCCTTGACCAGAAATTGAACCCATAGCCTTGGATGCTGGGGCCAATGCTCTAACCACTGAGAAACATAGGGTAGGGCGATTTAATTATTTTGTATGTCTCTTTTTAATGCACTTCCATGAGAAACTAGTTAACAGAAATGCAGAAAAACAGCATGGTGCTCTATAGTATGACACTGAAAGCATTCCTACAGGATTTCATATATCATTTGTCTGATGTTCTTAGATGGCAATTTGTAGTCTACAACACAGAACCCATTTGTAGCTGGTTTATTTCTTCACAGGGATGAAGATATGGATGGAGAATGGGAGGCTCCTCAGATTGCCAACCCTAAGTGTGAGTCGGCCCCTGGGTGTGGTGTTTGGCAGCGACCTATGATTGACAACCCTAACTATAAGGGCAAATGGAAGCCCCCCATGATTGACAACCCTAACTACCAGGTGTGTATCTCTCTAGTGTTTCGTTTTTTTATTTTTTAAAATATATTTTTATTGATTTCAGAGAGGAAGGAAGAGATAGAAACATCAATGCTGAGAGAAAATTACTGATTGGCTCTCTCCTGTACGCCCCTATTGGGAATCAAGCCTGCAACCTGGGCATGTGCTCTTGACTGGAACTGAGCCTGGGACCCCTCAATCCACAGGCCAACACTGTGTCCACTGAGCCAAACCAGCTAGGGCTATTTTGTTTCGTTTTAATAATTACCTGAGAATACGTTTCAGAGCTTTTAGGGGAGTGGCAGGGAGGAGAGAGAAGCATTGATTGGTTGCCTCCTGTACTCACCCCTACCAGGAATTGAACTGGCAAACTTGCAGTGCACACTCCAACCAACTGAGCCACACCAGCCAGGCCTGAGTGTGTGCCTCTTAATGTGCTTCATTGACCTGGTTGTGTTCAGATAGAAGTTTTGTCTGTAGTGAGGCTGCTGGATTGATCACTATTTTCTTTTTTAATATATTTTATTGATTTTTTTTTACAGGGAGGAAGAGAGAGGGATAGAGAATTAGAAACATCGATGAGAGAGAATCATCAGTCAGCTGCCTCTTGCACATACCCACTGGGGATGTGCCCATAACCAAGGTTATGTGCCCATAACCAAGGTGCCCTTGACTGGAATCGAACCCGGGACCCTTCAGTCCACAGGCCGGCGCTCTATCCACTGAGCCAAACGGGCTTTTAGCTGATCACTATTTTCAAGTAATTGAATTACAAAGTAAACTTCATAAATTGAGAGAGAACTTAATGTGTTCAGTATTGAAAGATAAATCTCGAAACAGGGAAGGAGCTTTCATTATTGCTTTGTACTTTCGTTTAAAAACAAAGAAAAGACAAATGGAAAACTTGCAGTTTGCATTCCCTGCTATCATGTGGCAGGGGTGCTTCAGCCAAAGGGTACAGAGTGGCAATCTGTGATTTTTAGAGAGGGGAAAGGAGGAGGAGGGACAGAGAGAAACATTGTGAGAGAGATACCCTTTGGTTGCCTCCCGTATATATCCTGATCAGGGATGGGGATCAGGCTTGCACCCGAGGTCCATGCCCTTCACTGGAACCTGGGAACTATTCATCCTGAGAGCTGACACTCCACTGAGCCCAACCGGCTAAGGCTTAAGTGTTTTTTAATTGTGCAGTCAAACAATCAGATTAGTTAGAAGTTGCCCTTAAAAAAACCTGCACTTTGGCTGTTTTGTTGATGACCATTTAGATGGATTGCCCTTTTTTTTGAATCCTTGATACAGTAGTCATCCTTGTGCATGTCTGAGTATATGTTGTAACTATTTCTCTAAGTTGTTAAGAAATGAAGTTGTTGGTTGAAGATCATTTAAATTTCATTTCATTTATTTATTTTGAGACGGGGGAAGAGTAGTCTGAATTGGGTTATGAGGCCCCCTTGTGGAGTGCCTCACCTCAGCCATTGAACTCACTTGGCTGGCCTTGAGTCTGTTCCAACCTCTGCTTGAGGAGTCATCCGCCAGGCTCCTCCCGAGGGCGGGGTCCGTGACATCTCCTGCCCAGTCTGTCCTCGCGGAGACCGGTCTTTGGGAACTCACCTCCCCGCAGGTCAGGGAGGGCCCTGTTAGAGCCACTCTTGGCCCTAGTCTCAGACCTTCCCAAGGGACATGAGGACACTCAGCACATAGCTCCCCCAATGAGCTTCCCTCTGCCCTTTCTTTACTTGATTTTTAGATATATTTGTATTGATTTCAGAGAGGAAAGGAGAGAGAAACAGAAACATCAATGAGAGGGTATCATTGATTGGCTGCCTCTTGTATACCCCCTACTGGGGATTGAGCCTGCAACCTGGATATGTGCCCTGATTAGGAATCGAGCCATGACCTGGTTTATAGTTCGATGCTCAAGCATTGAGCCACGCCAGGTGATCATTTACATTTTAAATCTCCACTGAAGAAATTGTACCAATTTAGGCTCCCACTCCTACTAGCAAACTAGTGGAGGCTTTGGAATGTGCCAGGCACAGCGAGATATTGGTCTAGAATCTAGATGAAGGTCATGGATATTAGAAATTGAAAGTAATTGAAGTTCAATTACTTTCTTAGAGGCAGAATGTAAAACATCAGTAGCATTAATTGTTTACTTGTTACTCAGTTAAGTTTTAACAAATTCAGCACTTAGCTTCATTTATCCTGAGGAATTCATCTTAATTTTTATTTAGGTTCATCATAAATTTGTGTTCACCATTATCTGAAATGATTTTAAAAATTGTTTTCTCTAGGGAATCTGGAAACCCCAGAAAATACCAAATCCAGATTTCTTTGAAGATCTGGAACCTTTCAAAATGACTCCTTTTAGTGCTATTGGTTTGGAACTGTGGTCTATGACCTCCGACATTTTTTTTGACAACTTTATCATTTGTGGCGATCGAAGAGTAGTTGATGATTGGGCCAGTGATGGATGGGGTCTGAAGAAAGCTGCTGACGGGGCTGCTGAGGTTTGTGCTTGCTTGTTTCTTGTGCATTTATATATGCAATTGCTACTTTTGCAAAAACCTATCTATGGTTTATCTTCCCTTATTTGGGAATATTGTTATAAGAAGTGATCGTATGCCTACTAAAGACAAAATACTGGGTTTTTGGAAATGATTGCTTTAGTCTCATGCAATGGCTTTAGAATCTTTGTTATGTATAGAGTTTTATTTATTTGTTTACTTATTTAGTAGAGGCCCAGTGCCTGAAGATTCATGCAAGAATGGGCCTTCCTTTCCTTGGCTGCTGGCACCACCTTAGCTTTGGCTGGAGCCACCTTTTTACCTTCCCATGCTATCCAGAGGCCTGGAGCGGCCAGGGTGGCGTGGAAGGCCTGCGCACAAGTGTCCTGCCCCACCCCTGGCTGCTCAGCACCTGCATATGCATACTAACCAGTCATTTTTGTTGGGTTAATTTGCATACTCACTCCTGATTGGCTAGTGGGCATTGCGAAGGTATGGTCAATTAGCATGTTACTCTTTTAATAGGTAGATTATTGTGTTAAAATATATTTAACAAAAATTGCCATTCAGGATATATTTTAATGCACTCTTAAATGTTGAATCTTGATTTGCCCAATATGTAAATTTTTAAACAATTGGTCATATGGCTGAGGTATAAATTAGAGAGCCAGAGGCATTCAGATCAAGAAATTATTCATTCACTGGTTCCTGAAATTCTTTTTTTTTTTTTTTTTAATGATTTTTTTTACAGAGAGGAAGGTAGAGAGATAGTTAGAAACATCGATGAGAGAGAGTCATCAATCAGCTGCCTCTTGCACACCCCCCTACTGGGGATGTGCCTGCAACCAAGGTACATGCCTTGATCGAAATTGAACCCGGGACCCTTGAGTCCGCAGGCCGATGCTCTTTCCGCTGAGCTAAACACGTTTCGGCTGAAATTAATTCTTTTGCTGATGATTAAGAAGCCAGCTTTCATAGCCGTGAAAGGGAAATCACCTTGATGATATGGAGAAAAGAAAATTGAGGATTTTTCTCCTATTTCCTTTTTTTGCTATAAGAACATCTTGGCTAGAATCCTTTGGAAAATGTGGAGCCTGGGTAGTACCTACCATGTAGTCATTGAACAATGGAAGAGTGCTCGCTATATTTGATGTCAAAAATGAGAACTTGAAATCAGTCATGTCTTGTTTTTCAGCCAGGTGTAGTGGGGCAGATGCTGGAGGCAGCTGAAGAGCGTCCGTGGCTCTGGGTGGTCTATGTTTTGACTGTAGCACTGCCTGTGTTCCTTGTAATCCTCTTCTGCTGTTCTGGAAAGGTATGAGTATTGGTTTGGGTTTAAGACACTTTTAGAAAGTCTTATGATATTTAAAAAAATAAGATATATTGCCTGAGGTTTTCTTTCTAGCAGCTCAGTTGTGGCTGGACCGAATTTGGTGCTGACTTCTGAAATTTTATGCACTATTCTTGGCGGCCATGCATTGTACTCAGATGGGAGTAGCATTTGTAGCCCCTTCATTTCTAGTAGTATTTAAACCACTCTCCTTAATATTTGTCAGCAGTTTTCTGGGGCAGGAAGGAAAACAACAACAAAAAACTTAGATATAAATCTGGCCATTTGGGCATAAACTAGTTTTTCCTCTTGGCAGAGCTATTTCTATTCATACACTTTATAATTCTCATTACCAGGTTCCTCCCTTAGTATCCCTAATCCCTTTGACCTCCCTCTACACACAAATACGTGTAGGGTAAAACAGCCTGTTTTTCTTGTTCAGCCTTTGTTACGTGCAGTCGAAAATAAAATACAATGTGTTTAGGCTCTACTTCTACTAGTAGAGGATGATGCTTCACCTTGCATTCAAAATGTTCTGTAATCTGGCCCCCAGAGTGCCTTTTCCAGCTTTGTCCCCACCACTGTGCCTCAGTCACCATGACTGTTCAAACTTGCCTGGGTCTACCGGGACCCCTTTATGCTGTTCCTTTTATCTTGAAACCCCTCACATTCCCACTCAAGAAAAGACTCTCAGGGCAGAAAGTACATCTTACTCATTTCCATACATCTACTCAAGTATACAGCCTGGTACTGAACTTTAGGCATTCAATAATTATGTGGTAACATACTACATAAAATGTGAACAAAATGGTTGTACTGTGAAAAATATTTCAGAAACAGTCCAGTCCTGTGGAGTACAAGAAGACTGATGCTCCTCAGCCAGATGTGAAGGAAGAAGAGAAGGAAGAAGAAAGGGACAAGGGAGATGAGGAGGAAGATGGTGAAGAGAAACTTGGTAAGAAGTAGACCCCAAAATATCTGTTTTCAGCCAAGACTCTAAGATGTTCAAACCCTTATAAATAAGTTATTGTAAAGATTGTTTTAGATAATTAATGCTAATTACCTAATTATCCCAAAACAATGGTAAGATTTGCCAAATTGTTTTAACTTCTGTTTTAGAAGAGAAGCAAAAAAGTGATGCTGAAGAAGATGGTGACGCTATCAGTCAAGAGGGTGAAGATAGGAAATCCAAAGCAGAGGTAACAGGAAGGGGGAATACGTTTTTTATTTTAAGCACCTAAGTTGAAGGTACATTTAAGTAGAGGGAATATTTGCATATTGCATAGAGTAATTTTCAGTGGCCATGGCTGTAAAAATTCTGTTAAAGCCAATTTTATAAAAGTGATATTCTTAGAAATACAGGTCAGCATGCTAAAACTTCAAATTATATCTGAATCTCAAAAAGTATTTTTCTGTGCTGAAAATGGTTTTGGAATAAGCAGGGTTGTAGGAGAAAACTAATAAAATGAGGTTATTATTTTACAGTTCTGTTTCTTCATCCACTTCCCCACACTGTGCCCTTAAAAAATATTTCTTGCACAAATCCCTGTGTTCTAAAATTTCTGTCCCAGTTACTCATGGATTCATTTATTTATTCAATAAGTAGTTTTGGAGTGCCCGTTATATGCCAGGCATCGTCAGGAAACAAGACAAAAATAACCTACCTTTGGGGAGCTTAATTTCTAGTGGGAGAAAACAGACATGATAAGGAAGCACCTGAATGAATGTTAGAAAGTGATAGGCCATGAAAAAGAAAAGTAGGATCGGAAAGGCTGTCAGAGGGCTGAAGGTGAGGCAGGTGCAGTGTTAAAGATGATAGGCCTCGGTGGTGAGAGGACACTTGTAAGAGATAAGGGCAGCCATTGTAGGTTTTGGGGCTAAGTAGGTATATCACTCCAGCTGCTGTGTTTTCTACAGACCAAGTAGAATCAAGGAGACTGGCTAGGAAGCTGCTGTGCTAATCAGATTAGATATGGTGGTCCTGAGTAGGGTGATATGATATGAAAGGAGGATGTGGGCTTCCGGAGCTAGATTGGATAATGAGGTATGAGAATAAGGCAAGAGAATAATATTCCATACCTTTCCTACCAAGGTTCCTTTTCCAAGCACTTCTCTCTTTCATTATGGAAAACTCTACTCAGTGTTCATTTCCAGCTCCTACTATCCTGCCCTCCTCTTGATAAAGATCAGTGCTATTTATGTTTGAGTGTCTTGACTAAAATGTAGAGTTCTTTCAGGTAAGGTTCAGTCTCACATACTTTTAAAAAAAAAAACATACATTTTCATTGATTTTAAAGAGGAAGTGAGAGGGGAAGAGAGAGAGAGAGAAACATCAATGATCAGAATCATTGATCAGCTGCCTCCTGCATGCCCTACATTGGGGATCGAGCCCATAACTTGGGCATGTGCCCTGGTGGGGAATTGAACCATGATCTCATAGGTATGTTCAATCGAGCCACGTCATCTGGGCTCACATACTTTTATATTCCCCAAGCTTCCTCACAGTCAGGAGAAATTCAGTAGAATAGGAAGAGCACCAGCTTATTGTCTTGAGTGTCACATGGGACTTGGTGTGGATAGTCTTTCAGTTCCCATAAAATACAGTCTTCTCAGTCTCAAAGCCTAATGTGTTCATAGACCAGTAAATTATTTGGGATTAATCAAGATGACATGTGAAAGCATGGTGTCTGGTCTTTTTAAAAGAAGATGTAGATTGGGAAAAGTGCATTTTCATGGAAAGAAAATAGGAAAGAGTATATTAAAACACAGTCCCACCACCTCTAAGAGTTGGTTTTTGGTACATTTTCTTCAAATCAGTTTTCTTATTTTCCCTCAGATGGGTTATCCTCAGTTTGGTAGATCTGGAAATTTGGTGAATTTTTACTTTTCATAATATGGTAATTATAATATGAATTTCTTGTGTGTTTTTTCAACCAATAGGAGGATGAAATTTTGGACAGATCACCAAGAAACAGAAAGCCAAGAAGAGAGTAAAATTATCTTAAGAACTTGATATGTGATTTCCTCTCCTTCCCCTTCCTCTGCAAGTGTGGTCCTAGGAGAGAACCTGGCACATCTTAGGTTGAACCTCAGCAAACCTCCAGATGTCACCTTCAACAAGTTTCAGTCAAACACTAGCCCTGTAATTTTAAACATCTAGCAGTAAATAATTGCAATTGTGACAAAAATTACCTTGTTTCTGTAGAAAGAAAGCATTTAACAATGGTTGTGAAATGTAACATGAAGCAACTAATTTGTATTATTTGTTTTGTTTTTAAACATCTTTGGGTTTTTGTTTGTTTGTTTTTAATAGAGTAATAGAATTTTGCCAGTCTTTAAGATCGTGGCTTAATTTAATATATTGATGTGTCCATGCAGAAATAACACCAACTTATAGAAATTCTAGGGGGATGAACTGCAGTTTTTATAACCAATTTTGTTTGAGTTTGGTATTATAAAGCATTCAAATGTCTATATCCCTTAAAATTGATAATCATGTTTAAAGTGCAGTTATTTGTCGTTATAATTTTGTATTGCTTACTTCCATTCCTCCTAAGGAAATTGAGGAGAGGAATTGAATGGAAACCCAAAATTATATAAAGGTTCTGTTTAAATTGTATTAAAAATGGACATATAAAAAGAAAAAAAGTTTCACTCGATGTTGGTTAGTGTGTATATGTTCTGTTGCCCTTGGAACAGCTCAGTTCACCGACACGTTTGAGTTAGTGGAGGAGGTGGTACAATGTGGCATTTGGGCCTTTGTACTCTGCACGCCAGGCGTCTCTGGGCTACAACCTTCTTGAACGGGTAGCTTCTTTAAAGACTGCTACCAGAACATGTGAGCTCCAGAGTAGAATCAGGTGTTTCCATCCCATCTTCCATTCTGTTGACACTGTTTTCCCTCCGTTTCCCCAGAGTCCTAGCTTTCTCCTCTGCTATGCCTTTTCTTCACAGCGTCTTGCTGTCCGTTGCTAAAAATGATTATAAGCTCTGCATAGTATTAAGCTTTAATGTGATTGTGTGTGTTTCTTCCTTCTTTAAGCAGGCCTGCACCTTTCCAGGGTCAAGTACAGAATAGAATGCTATCTTTTATTTTATTTTATTTTTTTATCCATTTCTCTTACTCTATTAAGACTAGAAGTCTGTCCAGTTGTGAGCCAATTCAGAATTGACTGTAATTGAACACAGGCTAAAAAGTACTGATGTAGAAGTGACATAGAGCATGAGTTATCCAATTTTTGTAGCTGCTAAACCTTTTAAGTTATCATTTGCAGTTCATGTAACAGTTGTCTTAAATTACATGATAAAGCAGTCCTGTTAAGAATAATAATTTTTTTTTTTTTAGTATATGGATTGTAGAATATTTTAATAAGTGATGTTAGGTTTGTTTTCTTATGGAATGCAGATGGGTGCTATCAGAGCCTCTCCCCCATCACAGTGTAATAATCTCACTATTACACCACACTGAAGTATATTCAAAATTAATGTTCTTTTAGCTTTATACTTTCTTCAGAGCTGTTTCAAATATACCGATGATACTGTTCCTTGCACTGAATATATAAACACTCCAGAGTGTTTATATTGGGAGATATTGAGGAGGAAGTATATTTGTAAAAGATGAAGGCTGTATCTGTTTATTTTGTTTATCTCAATTTTTTACCAGTTCACTTAAATTCTTATGAGGGTGGGATGCATTTTTCTTGCTGTTCAGTGCTTTATTCTTTTCATCTGGTGTTCTGTGGTCACAGTGACCTTAGCTATGTAGCACACTTTCCCAAATGTATTGAGTGCGAATAAACAGTTACTTGGCAAGACCTGAAAATATGTCTGCAGATTTCTTCTTTGAAGCAAATGTGTGGGGTCATTGCATTTCCAGAAATCTGCCTTGTCTCTCCATTAATATTTCATGCCTCACAGTTTCTTCTGGCTGAGCTATGGAATGACAAGTGTAAATTGGTAGTGTTCATTTGCCTTTCCAGTGTTATTTAGCAAAGTTTGTCTTTTCTTGGTTCTTCTTTTCACTCTTTTTGTTGAAGTTGTAATCTCCTGATTAAATGTCTGACACATTAATGACCAACTGCAGTTCTTGGCTCTTTAGAAGGCACTTGCATTATGATTTTACATGCTGGGTTCCCGTCCCTTTGTAAAAGGCCCACTCCATCAGAGTGTTCCTCAGTGTCTCTTGTTCACAAAATACTTTCCACTTTCCCCAAATTGTCACATTACTAAATGGTATTACATTAAAACCCTATGGTTAAGCATCTGCTTTTGACTGAACTTCTTCATAGTAACCTTTAATTCACATGTTTTGTTGTTTCAAAGTGGGTTAATTGTCCTTTAATTGGCCACTGTTTGCTATTAATGAAGAAACTACTATGAACGGTGGGATATATAGTCTCGTCCCTTGGTATTCACAGGTATTGGTTCCAGGACTTGCCGTGAATACCAAAATTTGAGGATGCTCAAGTCCCTTATGTAAAGTGGTATACATAGTATTTGCATATAACCTACACACATCTTCCCTATACTTTCTCTAAATTACTTAGACCTAATGCAATGTAAATGCTACTTAGTTAACTATTGTTTAGAAAATGACAAGAAAAAAGTCTGTACATGCTCAGCACAGATGCAACCTGCTGCCATCAGAGTTGGATCTACATAGCAACATCAGCAACAATGAGACTTTTCTAGATATTTTCCATCCTTGGTGGTTGGTTGAATTTGAGTATGGGAACTCTTATACTGAAGGCCAACTGTACTTTGTCACCTTGAGGATTTGGTTCAGTCAACTCAATGGAGATTCTGCCTCCATTCCTGCTGGATTAGAATTCAGTAGTTTCTGTTGTGCTATAGAGATAACAGCTCAGAAACAGGAATAATTTAGTCTTTTAAGATGGATGGGAACTAATGAGTTTTTAAATTTTTATTAAAAAATAAATTTTCATGTTTATATATTTCAAGGGAGGTTTTTGAAAATTAGATTAAATTTCTTTTAGCATGCTATTTTGATTTTGGACTGCTTACTGAAGAAAAGAGACAGTGCTTATGCTATTATTTTTCCTATTAGAAAATATTTAATCCTGGTGTAAAATGTATAAGTTTAAAGACTGGTAAGCAGGACCACATTATGGCATTCACGAGCACCTTTGCCTTGAGGAGCCACTTGTATCTTTTTGCTGCATTTGTATGAGAACAAATTCTATCTGAATAAGGAGTCATTTTTTCTTATTTTAAAATAAGATATTTTTGTGGGTCCTAGTGAAAAGTTACTATAACAGCTGTTTTTATTTGTTGATGGTGTTTCTCAACCTGCGGCATCCTGGCATCCCCTATTTAACTTGTCTCTTGGTCCAACATCATATCTAGTTTTATTGCTGACTCGCTAATCCTGTAGTTTTTTTCTAGTCTCCCTTTCCCTTTGCCTGCTCGTTATATAATAACTAGAGTGATTTTACTTAACAGACCATCTTTTTCAATGTAAGGCTTGCCGGCCATACCCCGGTTTTTACTGTAATGTCATCCTTTGCGGTTCTCACCCCCACTACTAGATAGACTCCCCACACGCTCTTCCTTATCTGTGCCGGGCTTTTCGGGGGCAAGTAGTAAGTTGAAACTTACTCATTTGACATAAAAATGGTAATTGACGGGCCCAATGATTCAGAATGGCGTGGGAGGAAACCTTTTTCAGCTCACGCCTGAAATTTCGACCAATTAAAATGCTGGATGTAAGCGAGGTCGGAGAAAACAGTTGATGCTGAAAAAGCGTGGCTACTTTTGAGTTTATCTGCACCAACTTCAGAAAGGCCGCCCGGGAACGCGGCGAGCAGCGATGGGGCCGGCGGCGTCCGGCTCCGGCCCGCGGACCCGCTCCTGCTGCCGGGCTCCGCCGCGGACCCGGAAGGGCCTGCCCGCGGGGCGGTGCTCAGCGCGGCTCCGTCCTCACTCGGCCGGTGCCCAGCACCGAGGCCCGCCCCCGACGCGAGTTCCTTTAACTCCGCACGGAGCTCCGCTGGCCTCGGCCGCTCACCCCGCCCCTCGGCACCCGCTCGCGCTGTTTGATTGGCCGCAGTCCCTGCTCCTCAGCCGTGACGCCAAGGTCGCCTGCCGAGTCCCGCCCTCTTCCGAGAGCCCCGAAAACAATTTTAAGATGGCGGCTACGGCGGCGCGGAAAACAATGGGCTCGGGGCGGCGGGGCCAGGCCGAGGCCTGAGGTGGGCAGCGAGCGCCGGCCGGCGGCGGGCCGAGCGGAGCCGCAGGAAGACTCGCCGCCGCCTTCGCCGCTCGTGGGGCCATGGCGCGGCCGTGAAGCGGCTGCCCGCCGGCGGGGAGCGGAGCCCGCAGTTCCAGCCGCCAGAGACGCCCGGCCCGGGCCCGGCCCGCACCGCCCTCGGCCCATGGTGCTGCCCACCTGCCCCATGGCGGAGTTCGCGCTGCCGCGGCACAGTGCGGTCATGGAGCGCCTCCGCCGGCGCATCGAGCTGTGCCGGCGGCACCACAGCACCTGCGAGGCTCGCTACGAGGCCGTGTCGCCCGAGCGCCTGGAGCTGGAGCGCCAGCACACCTTCGCCCTGCACCAGCGCTGCATCCAGGCCAAGGCCAAGCGCGCCGGCAAGCACCGGCAGCCGCCCGCCCCGCCGCCCGCCCCGGCCCCGGCCCCGGCCCCGCGCCTGGACGCCGCCGACGGCCCCGAGCACGGCCGCCCCGTCGCGGTGAGTAGGACGCGGGAGCCCCTGCCGCCGAGGCGCTCCCGGGCCTCGCCCGGACCGGGGACTGGCCGGGACTGAGCGCTGTCACCTGCGGCCGCGGGACGGTGGCGGTGGTTGGGGAAAACGGGACCGGAGAGACCCTAGTGAGGCTCCGGCGTGAGGCTGGGGAGCCCCGGGGGAAGGTCTCCTCCCAGACTGGGGAAGTTTCTTCAAACGCACCGGCCTGCGAGTGGCCTGTGCTAGTGGCTTCATTTATTCTGTGAATGTTCATTGGGTCTTTGCAGGTTCACGGTTTACATATGGAAATGTCAGGCAGCCTTCAGTTGATCAAACTGTTTTGAATGGAAACACCCAAAAATCTTAGTAAAAAATGTGTAGGCACCCTGAAGTTTTGTGAATCCAGCGATGTTGTGGACAATTTCCGTTTTCATTGGTTCTCAGTAGCTTTTCCGGGGGATTTGTTGGTTAGAGGTTTTCTTTACTGAAGCTGATTTATAAAAGTGAGATGATTGCCCTGGCTGGTGTGGCTCAGTTGGTCGAGGTCCTCTGTGTGCACTGGAAGGTCGCTGGTTGATTCTCAATCCGGGCACAAACCTAGGTTTCGGGTTCGATCCCAGGTCTGGGCGCCTGCGGGAGGCAACTGATCCATCTCTCTCACATCAGACCGAGGCTTCTCTCTCCCAATAAGTAAGTAAGTAAGTAAGTAAGTAAGTAAATAAATAAATAGTTTACTGAAATAAGGGGAAGGATAAGGTTGCTTTGCTTCTTTATAATTTAAACTTTAAAACAAAAGTTAGCAATCTAATTTGTTCTGTGTTATTTTTAAATTCGTGCCTTTACTCTCTTCCACCTGGGCTGTTTCAGTGCCCATCTCTAGTCATCAAGCATTTGGTCTCTTCCTCTCTAAATGCTGTGTGAGTGTCCCCCTTCTCCCCCCATTCTCTGTTTGAATTATTTTCCGTATTCTCTCCCTCATTAGCCTGGGCTGCTGGACATTTAATTGATTATTGCTTACCGACTAGTCAAGTCTTCTGGTTCTCACTTTTCTCATCTGTAAACTGCAGATATGTTTAGCTTATTATCCTCCAGGAGTGTCCTTTTCTCGGTCCCAACCTTTCAGAATCCCGCCATCCTTCAAATCTAGCTCATCTTCCTCTTCTTTTTTAAAATTTATTTTTTATTTGATTTTATTTTGTTGATTTGAGAGAGAGGAAGGGAAGGAGAAACTTCCATTTAGTTAGGCATTTATTGGTTGATTCTTTTATGTGTCCTGGACCAGGATTGAGCCTGCAACCTTGGTATCGGACAAACTCAAACCAATTGAGCTACCCAGCCAGGACCATCTTCCTCTTCTTGAAAGTTAGTTTCTGACCACACTAGCCCACAAGAATCAGAATGAACTTTGTCAAAACATTTAGGAAACTTATTGTCTGTGCTGTTTATTTGTAGCACATAGTCACATATTACTTTGGCCGTGTCTTTCCAACGAGGTGTTTGGCTCAGAGTTCCTTACACATCTTAGGCTCTCAGCATGTGTTTATTGAATGATCGATATTAAACTTGGTAGTACTTAATAATTTATTCTCCTTTATGCTACCCTCAAAAGGCAAAATGGCTTAACTTTATGATGCCTTTCCGAACAACTTCTGTTTTAAGGAAAGACTAACAGTAGCGGATGGTCATGCCAATTTAAGTACGTAATGAAAGCTCATAAAATCTTAGTTGACATGCAAATAGTTGCCTTAAACACCACCTAGAAATTATATTGGTGATGATTCAATGTGTTTAAAGAGAGTGAGAGTTTAGACCCTACAGAATATTTTCAGTCCTGAATTATTGTAGAGAAATTTGTTGACAATAAATTAATTATAAGTGTGTTAGAACTTGAATCTGGCCTGCCAGTTATTTCTTTGGGTGTGGGAGACTGATCAGATGTGCCATGCTATGTTGATGTCTTATCACATTAAATCTTGGGCCTGCATTTCATGAATTTAAACCTCAGGGGGGAAGCGCCCTTTCGTTGTCTGTCTAATAGAAGAGGGCCCCTTTCACCTCAGTCTCCCAGTGATCCTCGCTAAGCTCTCCAGCCCTGAGATGGGTTAGAATGGGATCGTTGTAATGGGAAGATTCATGTCACTAAGAAAACTGGCATTTTCTGTGTGTGCTCTTTCAAAACCAAATAGTTTTCTAATGACACTTAGAGTTGACTTCTTTTTGTTAGGAATGTTACATTATTGAGAATTATCCACCCATTTTATATAAATTCTTATTCTTTAATGAAAATAGTCTTACAATAGCTTGAACAGTTTCATTTAGTAAAATGCTCTAAGGGTTTATGCCTCATCCCTTTATCTGCTGTTGTTACTCTTTTTAAAAAACTATATTTTTATTGATTTTAGAGAGGAAGGGAGAGGGAGGGAGAGGGAGAGAGAGATAGAAACATCAATGATGAGAGAGAATCATTGATCGGCTGCCTCCTGCACATCCCCTGCTAGGGATCAAGCCCACAACCCCGGCATGTGCTGTGACTGGAAATCAAACCATGACCTCCTGCTTCATAGGTTGATGCTCAACCACTAAGCCTGGGCAGGATGTGCAGATTTTTAATAATGATTTCATAAATTAAAATTATGTAAGAATTATGAAAATAACAAATTATTTCTAGGAAGTAGAGATATCTGATCATAAAACAGACATTGTACTATAATCATGTGGGATAGTTTTAGAGAAAAGATGACTAATTGTAGCTTTAGGAACCCATCTCTTCCTATAATACAGGGACCTCATCCTAAAAACCTTTTTTCTTTTTTATCATCAGAATCCCCTTTCCCACTACATCCTCCCCTTCAGCTGAAAGCACAACAAATATTCTTTTGTCTTTTCTCACCCTCAAAATAATGTTCCATCTTCTTCCTTTCTTTTGCCCTTTCCACTGAACTTGCCACTTATTCATTAGTCTATTGTGATCCGTCTTCTACCTCTTCTACTTTTCCAAAATTATCCCTTTAAAAACACCAAAGATGAATTGCCATAGTTAGTGGCTTCTTAGTCATCTTTCTTTTTTACTTCTTCTTCCTTAAAACTTTTCTCTAAGCTTCTACCCTCCTCTAATTTTCTTTCTAGCTTTTTGACTTTTTTTTTTCCCCCCCCTCAGTCTCCTTCCTGCTCCTTTTATTAATTCATGCAACAAATATTTGAGTGTCTACTTGAGGGCCAGAGCATATTTTAGGCACTAGAAATATAGCAGTGAACAGGACAAATTAAAACCGCTCACATGAAGAAAGAGAGCAGTAATTTTAAAATTAATTTTTAGTTGTAATAAATGTTAAACATTAGAGTAGTGTGATACTGAGTGATTTTCAATAGCAGCTTTAGATAAGATGCTTTATCTTTTTAAAAATCCTCACCTTGGGACATACTTTCATTGATTTTAGAGAGAGAGGAAGGGAGAGAGAAAAACATTTATATGAGAGAGAAATACTGATCAGTTGCCTCTTATACATCAGACACATAGTACCCTCCCCCACTGGGGATCAAACCCGCAATCCACATGTGCCCTTACCAAAAATTGAACCCTGACCTCTTGGTCCTAGGGATGGTTCCCAACAGAGCCACACCGACCAGGACTTCATGCTTTGTCTTAATTTGGGCCTGAGTGACAGGAGGTTATCAGTCATTTGAAAGTCTCAGAACATTCCAGTTAGAATTACCAACAATCTTTGAGGCAGAGACTGAGCTTTCATGAAGAACAGAAAGGAGGTCATTGTGGCCAGTAGGCATCCAGTCTGAGAGGTGGTAAGCACGAATCAGATCAAGTGCAGGGAAAGCAATAGCAAGATTTAAGCAGAAACATGATATGATATGATTTAGTTTTGAAAGGTCATTCTGCTTTGTGAAGTTGGTGTGGGCAAGAGTGGATGCAGTTAAGCTTTTTTACAGAAGTGGTGGCTGGGGCTAGTGGTAGTAGTGGAGATGGAGGAAATGGATTCTGGACAGGTCCTGAAGGCAGAGATGCCAGAGCTTGGTCATGGACTAAATGGATTGGATGGTGGTTAGAGAGCAGGGAAAAGTTGAGGGGAATTCCAAGTTTTTTGCCTTGATAAACTTTCTTTGCACACTTTTTAAATGTTAATGTTCCCTATGCAATCACATTCTCTACTTTTTGCACTTGGTCTTCTTTTCCTGGGTAATATCATTGAGTCTTATGACTTCACCTGTCATCTGTAATAATAAGATTCTCCAGAATTCTTTTCCAAGGTTCAGATCCATACTTCCTCCTGTCTACTGGATATTTCCCTTTGATATTCCACATGTCCAAAATAGGCTCTCCCCTTTTTCCTGCCAATCTTTCATTCCTTTGGAGTATTTTCTCAAGCACAGCCATCCAAAGTAGAAACCTAGGAATTGCCTACTCGTTTATTGCTCATTTATTCGACCACTCTTGAGCTCCTACTGGAGCCAGGAATCATGGAGGTACCGGAACTATGTCAGCAGCCTGAGGGGAACTAGGTAGTAATAAGTGGGGCATGGCAAAGCCATGTTGAGGGCGTCAAAGCCTGTGGGAATATCAGGTAGGGAATGCCTCTTTGGAACTTTGGAAGCTTTAAAGATTTGTTTTTTAAAATGGGTCCAGCCTGGCCAGTATGGCTCAGTGATTGAGTGTTGACCTATGAACCAGGAGTCATAGTTCCGTTCCTGCTCAGGACACATGCCCAGGTTGTGGACTCCATCCCCAATGCAGGAGGCAGCCAAACAATGATTCTCTGTCATCATTGATGTTTCTCTCTCACTCTCATTCTCCCTTCCTCTCTGAAATCAATTAAACAATGGTATTAAAATGGGTCTTAATATTTTCCAAAGACTAATTTCATGGGCTATATTAAAAGAGTTCTGGAATTGAGCAAATTTAGGAGACACTGGGATAAACAAATTTAAGCAGATTCATTTATTAGGATATTTCCAAACCTTTAATTTGTTACTATGCATGTGATCTTATCAAGGAG